AAAGAGAGAGAGAGAGAGAGAGAGAGAGAGAGAGAGAGAGAGAGAGAAGGGGGGGTCTAAATATATGTTACATTTATATGAGTTGTAGCCTACGCATGCGGAATATTCCCATGACTTGTAAACTATATTATCTACGCATCTTAATCTACCACACAATAGGACACTGTCCCACAATGGAATATAGACAGAGACGATCTTATTTTCTATTACAAAGTAAAGTGTGCATTACTAGTAGAGAGCTGGATTTATTAGACTAATAAATCCAGCTATCTACTCACATTTTTGTGACAAATTGATCCAGAGCATTGCTTGGCCAGGAGGAATCTTTTATGTTGCCAAGTTTCATTCAAATATCATGACTTTGGGAGAAGATATGACGGATATTCTTTGTAAATCTGTAAAGAACGCCGCTTTTTTACCTGTAAATGTCTTTACAACTCAAAAAGTTGAGAAATATCTTCTTAACTCTTTTCCTACCAGGCCAAAATCCACCACTGGCCCAGGTCTTTTCCCTGATCTATTTTTACGCCCCTATCCCACCAAAGGAAGATGTCAAAACATCCAACTAAACACACATAAACCATATCTTATGGCCCATCAAACTGAAGGTTAAAACATAATCTATCAGATGGCGATGCAACATTGAAGATTTATTCCAATTATATTACTTTGGGGTTTCCAAAAGTGATTATGCAATATCGAAGGTGTCATATGAAATCAACAATTTTCCGGCTTTGAAAGGTCATGACTATCTTCCCAGACTGGACTAAATAAGTACCATACTCTTTAATAACCTTAATGCCTCAATTTTCCAAACAGAGCAAACAGGACAAGTCCAAGTGAATGCTTTCCCAAGAGGGGAGGCTTTCATGAAACGCAAACACTTGACTTGTAATGCCATCACTTCTCAGGATGTTTGCTTTTCTGTTTCTGTTTGTCTCTCATGCAATTAAGCAAATAAAAATGACTAAATCTATTGTATTGTGACTAAAATGCAACACAAAAATGCAAGTTATCAAGGCCCCCGTTTAGTTTTCAAGTGTATCCTCCCCCCCCCCCCCTTTCCGGTTCAAGCAAGGCCTCATTTGTAGCGCCCGAGGCGACCGATGGCTGATGACGTCACTCAGTGGAATTTTCCCAGCCGCCGGTCGTTCACCCAGCACGCGCAAATGGCAATGCCGCTTTTCCCTTAGCTACTCCCACATTTTGAAAGATTACGCAAAAACCGCTAAACACAGAAGTGACAATCACAGCACAGCTCCGAAAAATCTTCAAAGCACACCACATCAACTACTTTCGCAAACATTTTCGAAAGTGGCTATTCTCACCAGCCCGGAAGTTCTCGCAAGATCAACTCCTCCCCTCTTCTCTCTCTCTCTGTCTCTTTCTGAATACTGTCTATCGGTGTGGATGATCAAATTGACCAAAACAAAGTTAAAAAATGATGTTAAAACACAAAAGTAAATTAATTTGGTTGTCTACAAAGATGCTACGGCTATTTAACTTTTCGAATCGAGCCGAACTACGCGGGTCGCCATTTTGTTTTGCCCGGAAATTCTCGCGCTACTCCTCTCTCTCTTTCTCTCTCTCTCTCCACTGCCCACAGACAAAATTGTACGCTTTTAGTAGGCTACAGTTGTAATGGAACGTTTGTTCACGGCACAGAATTCTACAATTTTTCTGTTATCACAGTGTAGAATTCTGTGGTTTAGGGTGAACGCAAAATTTGGTGAACGCGCACCGGGTGAGAATAGCCACAAGACTCGCCTGCACTATTCTCACTCCAGGTGAGAATAGAGGTGGCCAACATTTTCGACTGCTTCTTTGATGAGAACAAACTTGTCAATCTGCATACTACGAGATTGAGCTCTTTTCTGATCGGCTGTTAAGTTTCATTCATATCCATTCACGAGAAGCGACGTGACAGTGAGTTGAAGACAACAACCATTTCCGCGCGTTAATTCGTGACACAAAACACCCCCGCGGCGGGGGCAAAAAATCAGGGCGCTTTTTTGGTAGTTCCCACCCTGCCATTGTTATTCGCGGGTTTTGGCCCCAAGAGTAGGGGGGTTTTAGAGGGGCAACGCCCCTGACCTAATAAAAATAAGATCTTGGCTACTCAACAGCAGCAGCAGTCTGTGTGTGTAACTACTGTATAAATAAAAATCAGTAAACAAGGCAAGGCCAGTAAATGTAAGCTGGAGGCCATAATTACAGGTAAAAGTACTTACAATAAAACTAGATCTATAAGAATCTACTTTTGAAGAATATTTCTATGTTGATAGTGCCATACCTGTCTGACGCTGATCCATTTGGCCGAAATTTGAACACGTTTTCGCTCATGCTGGATTTTGTGTACAATATTATTATATTATTGGAACTACTACTTCCGTGTCCGTGTTCCTGTTTTGTTTAGGCCCGCAGTTAGGCCTGAGCAAAGAGGTAATAGGCCTAAATAGGCTATTAATTTATTTTTTTTAAATTATGATGACAGTTTAATTACTATAATTTATATCATCAGTATTATCTTTCCAATACTTTATTGGAAATTATGTAAAATTGCACTGAAATATTTCTAGAATCCAAATCGAAAAGTGTAAAACGAAGTGATTATTGGGAGGGCCATACAGAGTTCACATAACCACTTCGTTTTTTAGATTTTTTTTTAAATTTAACCCTATCTGTAGCCTACGCACTGGGATCATTTTGTTCCCCCGGGGTTGTATTCTTCACATCAATTTTTAGAATACTTCTAGATCTAGATCTAGTTCGAAAATCTCTTTGAAACTTTCAGTATTTTTTAAAAAAAATCATTTTGACAGACTGATGCAAAGCGCACGGATCTGATTAACGAGTAAATTTCCTCTTTGAAAAGTGGTGGCACAGTTTCCCTCGTCGCATGGTTACAATAGACGTAAAACACGGCGTACGGATATGGTTTAAGTAGGCCTACAGTAAGTGTCAACATTGCACAATGCAAATTCAGTCGAACCTGCCTTAACGGAAACCTGTATAAAACGGAAATCTGTCTTAACGGAATCTCCCCGCTCCCCCCTTGATATATTCCTCTTCAATTACCTGTATAAAACGGAAACCTGTCCAACTCGGAAACGGAAAGAAAAATCCGCTCCCTTCCGAGGGTTTCACCTGTCTAAGACGGAAAATACTTTGCCCGCTCTGCCCTGATTTGAAAAGAAACTCGCAAGTTTGGCCTCTGAACTTCACGCCATGGCCATGCCGCTGGGCGAGGAGAGGGAGTAGGGGTGCAATTTGGGGGTAGATGTTACCCCATCATGTGAGCCCTGAGCGATGCAGATGGTCAGTGTAGTGTGGGTGTGAAATCTCACGACTGCCCGTGAGAGTGCTCGAGTAGCGAGCCACTAAGGAAACTTTCCTTGGTAGCCAGAAGCCAGAGGTGTGAAATTAGATTGACCAATGCCTGCCGCCCTGATCGTACGGCCTGCTGAGAAAAGAGTTCCTCGAATCGTTGTTACAATGATGACAGTGAGGGGTGGCATTGGTGGGTGGGACTAAGGGTGGAAGCAAAGGAGGTTTTCAAACGTTTCTGTTTTTAATAGGTCAAACAGTGGTCCTATGAAAGGCAAGCACTGGTGGTAATTGGATAAGTAAGACTGACGCATGTCACTATCAGACAGGATAGCAGCTGAGAGGTGTGAAGTTTTGACCACTGCTTGCCGATCGGACAAGCGATCCTTGATCCCACCGGCTGAGCCTTTGAACCCCCCACCCCCACCCCCCAACCCCCTAAATTCCCCTGTCTAAGACGGAAAATGTCTAAGACTGAATTTTCTCCCGCTCCCTTGCGATTCCATCTTACACAGGTTCGACTGTAGTTTGTACTGGGACCAAGGTCGCCAAGGAGATTAAAAGATTAGTTCTAAGCTCCTTGACTGGGACCAAAACGCTGCTGTACGAATTAATGGAGAATAAAGTGAATATAATAATAACAGATTAAAAGAGGATCCGAGTGAACTAGGATGTGTTATGCCACCAGACCTCTTTAACATAATTATGTACAGTGAAACAATCCTTAGAAATATTGAAAAATGTCCAGGTCTTAAAGTGAACGGCGAAAATATTAATAACATCAGACATGCCGATGACACAGTACAGTTATAATAGCAGGCCCAGAAAAGGACCTTCAATCGATATTCTAGAGTAGAAAGAGTCTATACTGTTGTAACAAAGTGAACGCAAAGGATATTTGTTGAATGTAAAGAAAACAGAATGCATGCATAATATCCAAAAAAAGGCAGCATATCCTATGCTGTAATTATCTCATTAGCAAATGTGAAAAGACCAAACGAGTCCAACAGTTTAAATATCAAGATACTATAACATCTACATACGGTACCAAATTTTCCACAGAAATAAAACGGAGAATTGCAAGGGCTAGGCTTGTTTCAACAAAGAGCCCAACGTGAAAAAAAGAAATATCTCAATGACTACTCTCAATGACTACCAAAATGAAAGTTCTGAAATGCTATATTATGGTCAACGACCCTTCTATATGATTGTGAAACAAGGACAATCACTATAAAGACAGAGATAATAAAATAGGAGCATCAGAAAAGTACTTTAAATATCGTGGAAGGAAGAGAAATCAAATGAGGTAGTGATTGATGAAGCCCATGTGGGACGCTCGCTGTTAAAAACAATCAGGAAACGACAAAAGTATGTATTTTTTGGACACCTCAAAAGACATAAAGGTTTTGAACATATAACTCTCACTAGCAAATGGAAGGCAAAAGAGACAGGGGTATACGCCCAGAGTAACCTACTTAGGGAACCTAACACAAATGGAACAGGGATCTCGAAAGATCAGGGAAACGTAACGTTTAAAGAGCATCCAAGAAAAAGGAATCGTGGCCATGATCGCCGATGTCTGTCGCAGATCTGGCACTTCAACGGCACTTGATGATTATTGGGAGTCGACTCCCTATGATCATAAATTTGGCATTGTTAGGTGTCGGCTCCCATTAATCACTTCACGCTGTTAGGAGTCAGAGATTACATCCGACCTAATCATACCAAAATGCAAATCTTTAAGGGTAAAGTTTATGGGTAGGTGTTGGGTCTCGACTATACTTTGTTGTGTTTGTTGAGGGTTATTGGGGCAGGGTTTGGGGTAAAGATAGCCGCGTTAGGTCTCTTCTTTATTGTGTTTGTTGAAATTGTCGCCCAATAATATTATTATCGTTATTTGTTTGTTATTTTTTCTCTTCATCCTTTACCGAGACTCGGGCGCACGAAAAACCCCCAAAACAAAACAGAGGTAGACCAGTATGCCGTGCATAGCCAAGCTACGGAATTACGGAATTACGGAAATCCTCCCTTTTATGCAAATAAGGCAGACTCGACTCAGAGCTCGACTCAGAAATTTATTTTGGTTTATCGTTTTTAAAGCCGATCGAATCAGCTTTCGTAATTTTGTGAAGGAACCTCGACTAAACCCTTCGGGATAAAATAGATAAATAAATAAATAAATAAATAAATAAATAAATAAATAAATAAATAAATTTCTGTTTTTGTGACTCCACAGAACATCAACTGATTTAAAATGGACAGTCAACTCCCAATTTGACAGTATGGGGAGTCGACTCCCAATAACGCCTAAAATTATCATAAAAGTAGTGCTTTGGTGCGATAGGAGTGGGGTCGTGGCAGATTATAAAGGAAAAAAGGCAGAGTTGAATTGGGAGATGTTTGACAGGCCTAATAATTTATTACAATGACACGAATTACATTATTTAATGCAGGTCTGAGTTCCTTGAATAATGATAACGGATGATATTCGAAAGTCAACACTTTGTTGGTCATAACGTTGAACTATAGGGGAAAGCAAGCACACTAGGCTATAGGCTGTTGCATCTCAAATAACTCAGATAGGATTTTTATTACAGTGTACTGAACGCAATATGGTAATAACAAAGTTTGAAAACATATTTTTAATGGTTAAATGATTTCAGCGGCATTCTCTTCGACCCTACATTGCATATAATTATATTACACATATAATTTGATTGTATTTATACGCCTGTTTAGTTTGATAAGTTGTACGTACGGCGCGCGGAACTGTGTAAAGAAGGTATAACATTATAATTAAATACATGTACACGTATTATTATCATGAACGCGCGGGACTCAAGTTGGTTGTTTTCGCATTAGTTCATGTGCGGCTTCATTTTACTTTATGATTGGAGTTGAACATTCATGGTAAAGATCCAATAGTAAAAACGGTCATTTTAATTACATTTTTAAAGTAGTAGACCTATGCTATACTAACTACATTTTGAAGTAAACACCAATAAATGTATTTGTAAAAATAATTGACACTTCTGTTGGGATCGACGATTGAGAACAAATTCTTCCAATAAATGCTTTAACAAATATGTCCTTTGTATCTCTGAAATGTCTGGACATTCTTATATTAGGTTGCCATCCAATCTCACACAAATTAATTAATGGGTTTTCGTCTCCCTGCTGGGGGTGTCAGCGGGAAGTATAAATAACGAATATATAGGCCTAGCCTACGTAATTTTGTTAAAACAACGTCGTCATTCCTAGAGAAACACGAAATTAGGTTTTCTCGGGCTCGACTTGGACATCACATTGTGAGGTTGACTGTTCAATTGCTCGCTCCATTGTTCCTCCCACAGACTGGACTTTACCTTATTTTTAGTCGGTGGGAAAGTGTTCTCCGTCGGTCCTAACAGGGACAAGGATATTATTATATTCCTTCGCCAAGAGATCCACCTGCTCGTTTCTTCGGATGCCTACATCATGGCTAGGTAGCCATGCAAACACATGTACAATACGCTTTTCATGTTCAATCAAGGAGTGAATCCTCAACTTTAATTTGACCCAGGGGCGGCTCTTTAACTGGGCAAGACCGACGGAGCCGGTCACTTTTTACCGGCTGTATAGTTAAGTGGACAGTAGACAAGAGATTTATCCTGCTAATAAATTTCATTCAGTTTCAGGTAAATTTTAATTAATATTTATTGTCAACATTCAAAAAGCATTTTGCCAATTTGAAGGCCCCAAAAATACGATAGGGGTTCACTGATAATAGTGATAAATTGATGCACCCCGGATTCTCTTTTCTTTGTCTCTGTTTCATTGACGGTTGCTCGCAACTTTGTTGTTACCGACTCTTGTCGCGACAAACAACTTCGCGCGAACACCGCGATCCTAGCGATGATTTTACAAACCGTCCACTGGACCCACTACACAGGGGAAGCTTCTAGTTGCCAATTTGGCTTCTCAGCTGCTTACTTTATTGATGGACAACACTGTTTAATAATATATGTATTTCATCAGTACCGTTATCAGCAAAACTGTTTCTTTTTACTGTCAGTACATTTATTGACAGCTTGACTCAAATTGGCAATGCCCATACGGTTTTTATCACCCATGATTTTGTTCGATGTTCTATTCCTTACTTACTTCCTACTGAAACCATATATGGCAGATGGGCGCTTTATTTTAACAGTTGGCCAGTCACGTTAAATTCGTCATAGATCTCTAGACGAAATTTTACCGAAGATGAGAGTGCTGAACTAGCGAGAGACACTCGGCCGACGCAGTCTGGGCCGCCAAAACAATACCCTCCCAACCTACCCTTTTCCCTCACCACGGTTTTATAATTAGCATTTGACGCAGTTCCCCACTTACCTATACGGTTCTCTGAGCGTCTAGCCACTTACCCTTTTTCAGTCTTATGAGAAGTACGACCATTATGCAGTCTTATGAGAAGTACGACCCTTATGCAGTTTTATGAGAAGTACGACTTGACTAGCATCTGCGTTTGTGCGCGATTTTTGGCATTTCTTGTTCGTGAATCGCGGCCTCGATTTATGCATTTTCCAACACAAAAACAAAAACAAAAAAAACAAAAAAACAAAACAAAAACAAAAACCTCACCGCAGAGGAATAACAGAAAAAAACACCAAACAAACCCGGGGAATAAACATCGGAAAAAAAAGGAACCGAACCTCTTAACTTTTAGAAAGAAAGATTATTTTAACTCTCGATTCACTTCGTCTCTTTTTCACTTGCAGAAACCACGTTGATTTGTTATTTTCGAGTGAAGAATAAAAGTACATTACATAATATTTATATATAATATGTTTATATATATTGCTGTTTCTCTTCTATTTTTTCCCTCTTTGTTGTGTTTTAATGTGTTGGTGCGTTTATTTTATTTATTTTTTTGGTTCTGATGTGGGTTTTTAAAAATTTGTGTTAAAAAAGCGAAATGTAATTTAATTTGATGTTGTTCCTACCTTTTTTAAATATAATGTTTCATGCTAAAGCATGTCAGCACCAAAACCGAAAACTGACACTCATGGCAGGCCCCTTGAGTGTGATTTTTCTTGAATTACACTCGCTTAGGGTTAAAACGGCCAATCTTCGGATGTAGATGGACGCACGCCTTTATTTGTAAATTTTTGTGGTTGGTTATGAACTGCTCTAATTTTGATTTTTTTTTTCTGTTGTGAAACCTTTATTTTTCACGTTTTTTACACTCTGTGTGGCTACAAAAAACGATATAGTGGACACAACAGAGCACAAGAGATTCTGGTGCTTTAGATCGAGTTACCTCTATCAACATATTTATTGCTATACGTCGTCACTGATAGATGAAAACTTGGAAAATAAATGGCACCTTTTAAGGCAACTTTTGGCATTTTGTTGCAACTTTTGGACCAAAAAAATGGCAGCGAACGCAGATGCTAGACTTGATTATGACCAGGAATTATTTTATGCTTTGTTCAGTGCGAGTGCATTTTAAGTGCACCATTATTGTATATCTGATTCTAAATTTGATTCTGCGCGGGACAGCTCATGTCTTTGGTACGGTAACAATTATTTCTTCAAAGTATATTAATTGTATTTAAACTCTGTATCATTATGATTATGTAGATACGCAGATGTTTTTGGGCTCAGTAGTGAAGGATAGCGAAGATGTAGGTATACAACTGCGAATGTGTGTGTGTGTGTGTGTGTGTG